TGTGCCCGTAGGTGTCCCCAGGTGCGCTGCAGTGTCCCTTTGGCAGGTGAAGGAGTACGAGGAGGAGATCCACTCGCTGAAGGAGCGGCTGCACATGTCCAACCGCAAGCTGGAGGAGTACGAGCGGCGCCTGGTGACGCAGGAGGAGCAGACCAGCCGCATCCTCCTGCAGTACCAGCAGCGCCTGGAGCTCAGCGAGAAGCGGCTCCGGCAGCAGCAGCAGGAGAAGGACTCGCAGATCAAGAGCATCATCGGCAGGTGAGGGACACACGGGGACAGCGGGGACACGGGGACACTGGGGACATGGGGACACTGGGGATACTGGGGACATGGGGACACTGGGGACACTGGGGGGACTGGGGACACGGGGACATGGGGACATTGGGGGACATGGGGACATGGGGACACTGGGGACATTGGGGACACTGGGGACACTGGGGATACTGGAGACATGGGGACACTGGGGACACTGGGGATACTGGGGGGACATTGGGGATACTGGAGACATGGGGACACTGGGGACATTGGGGACATGGGGACACTGGGGATACTGGGGACATGGGGACATTGGGGACACACTGGGGACACTGGGGACATTGGGGACACTGGGGACATGGGGACAGTGGGGACACTGGGACACTGGGGGGACACTGGGGACATGGGGACACTGGGGACATGGAGGGAACACGGGGACATGGGGACACTGGGGACACTGGGGACATGGGGACATGGGGACACTGGGGACACTGGGGACATTGGGGACATGGGGACACTGGGGACACTGGGGACATTGGGGACACTGGGGATACTGGGGACATTGGGACACGGGGACACTGGGGACACTGGGGACATGGAGGGAACATGCGGACACTGGGGACATGGGGACGTTGAGGGGACATGGGGACGCACAGGGACACGGGCACATGGGGACTCTCCGATCAAGAGTGTCATCGGCAGGTGAGGGACACACGGGGACAGCGGGGACACGGGGACACTGGGGACAGCAGGGACACAAGGACATTGAGGGGACATTGGGGACAGCAGGGACAATGGGGACATGGGGACATTGGGGACAACAGGGACATTGGGGACAGCAGGGACATGGGGACATGGGGACAGTGGGGACAGCAGGGACACAAGGACATTGAGGGGACATTGAGGACAGCAGGGACACAGGGACATGGGGACATTGGGGACAACAGGGACATTGGGGACAGCAGGGACACAGGGACATGGGGACATTGAGGGGACATTGGGGACATTGGGGACACTGGGGACATTGAGGGGACATTGAGGACAGCAGGGACCATGGGGACAGTGAGGGGACATTGGGGACAGCAGGGACACAGGGACATGGGGACATTGGGGACAGCAGGGACATGGGGACATGGGGACACTGGGGACAGCAGGGACACAGGGACATGGGGACACTGAGGGGACATTTGGGACATTGGGGACACAAGGACATGAGGACATTGGGGACAGCAGGGACATGGGGACATTGAGGGGACATTGGGGACAGCAGGGACATTGGGGACACACAGAATGACACAAGGGACATTGGGGACACAGGGGACAGAGGGACACGGGGTACAGAGGGACACAGGGGACACAGAAGGACATGCGGGTGACACAGGCACACGTAGGACATGGGTGATACAGAGGTGACAGGGGCCATGGGGACACCCAGGGACACGGGGACACAGCATGGGCCACGTGTGTCCCCAGGATTGTCCCCAAGTCCCCGGGGTGTCATTGGCATGTCCCCAGCTGTCCCCAGGCTGTCCCCAGGATGTCCCTGGGCTGTCCCCGTGTCCCGGGGCTGTCCCCGGGCTGTCCCCAGGCTGTCCCCGTGTCCCCAGGCTGTCCCCAGGATGTCCCTGGGCTGTCCCCGTGTCCCCGGGCTGTCCCCAGGCTGTCCCCAGGCTGTCCCCACGCTGTCCCCACGCTGTCCCCAGGCTGTCCCCGTGTCCCGGGGCTGTCCACGTGTCCCCGGGCTGTCCCCGGGCTGTCCCCGTGTCCCGGGGCTGTCCCCGTGTCCCGGGGCTGTCCCCAGGCTGTCCCCGTGTCCCCAGACTGTCCCCAGGCTGTCCCCGTGTCCCGGGGCTGTCCCCAGGCTGTCCCCAGGCTGTCCCAGGCTGTCCCCGTGTCCCGGGGCTGTCCCCAGGCTGTCCCCGGGCTGTCCCCGGGCTGTCCCCGTGTCCC